GTAATTTTCAAACTCAATTTACTCGAAAACCATTGGAAATATCGATTTGGACAAAGATAAATTTTTTTATGTAAAATTGTTAAGATTTTATAAATCTGTAGAGAAAATTGAAATAAAAAAAATTACGGGCCGAAAACCCCATTCACTGACCTAAATGGGACGCATATGATTTGTATGTCGAAAAACGGAGTAGCCAATGTTATTTAACGTAAAAAGTTAAGTAAGACTAATAAATTTTTTTCTATTTATTTTCGACCGTTTTGTAAATAAGAGAAAAAAAACAGTTTTGTTTGAGTCCTTTTCAGGGAATATAACTTCCTAAGGGTGCGTTTTAGGGCACATGTTAATAGAAACTTTTTGGCTTATTTTAATGAGTTTGGAATCCTATTTTAGAAACACCCTATATAACACCCTATCTTGTAAAGCATTGCTAAACGCAAGACCATACCTGAGATGCATATCTGCATACTCAATAAACGTGCATTCCGTATTTCGAATTAATTCACAATTAAATTCACCGCAATATCCAAAAAACGGTAAATTATTAACGAAGTAAAGGATCAGTGTATCAGTGACGTCACTTTGTTGTCGAGAAAAAAATAGAAATCATAGCTGTTTTTATTAAAAATAAAACGTGTATTCCCTTATTATTCTTTTTCTCGCAAACGGTTCATTTTATCAACAATAGAAAAGAGTGTCTTTTTTTAGTCTAAGGTTGAAGCTACCCAGATTTATTATTTTAAAGTCTTTATCATACAGGGTGTTAAAAATTTAGGTATTAAGTTGTAAAACTTAGCCCGCCCCTGGTAAACTAAAAAAACTAAATATGTTTCAAGGACACTATTTTAAGAGGTCCTTACTAGTGTCCATCACATAAAATTTTACATACTTTAAAAGTTATTCAAGAAAAACCAATTTCCAGCGGCGTCCTTCAGGGACACATATCTCCGTAGGGGGGGCTTGTACGAAAAAAATATAGTAACTTGTCATCTTATTTTTTCATGTTCTGTCTGTACCCGAGAGATTTCCCACAATTTTCCGGACACCCTGTATACTGCTGTAGTAAATATAAAATGTTAACATTTTTAAAGAACCGCTGTTTTTGCAAACCCTTAAATAACATTTTAGAAAGTATAATTTGACGTATTTAACACAATGAGCACACTTAGTTAAATTGTACAGTAAAGAATTAAAATAGAGGCAAGGCAACTTTGTTTACGATCAAATCCAGACCAGGCAAATATTAAGGCGTTGGAAAAGCGAGGACTTGGTGCTTTATTCTCGAGTCGTAAAGCTTGTTCCGCATCCGTTGCTGTTGCTTTTCTTGAACAAAAGTGAAGTATATAATGCATTTTTCAAGTAACACGCCATGAGATTAAACTTTATATATAATACAAGTCTAGTCTGCTATTATATTTGACAGATAGTGCAGCTCTCGGATGATGCACTAAAATATTCTTCTCTTCTTATCTAGTTAAACGGGAGTGGAACATGGCATCCTTAGAGACAGCAGGATGGATTTCCTTTCTTTACCAGGCAATTAGTTAAATGCAGAAACATAATTATTTCAGTCCTTATACATAATTTTGCTGCTTAAAATATTTTCTGTTATGTTGGATCGCTAATTAATTTATTTAAAAAATCATGGGAAAGAAATTAAAAACGTATTAAAAGGAAAGGAAGACTTATCTCACTAAATTTTTGAACTTGTTACTGATTTCTATTTTATCTGAAAAAACTAATTCAATAAAATTTTATTATGCTCTAAAAAAATCTAATTAAATACAACCTAACAATGTTCTTCGATATCAAATATCTAGGTATAGTTAGTGGTACTGCGGCCAAAACAGAAACAAAAAAAAAAGAAAATAAACAGTAAATAATAAAAATAATTAAAAGAATAAATAATAAAAATAAAAGTAACCTCAGTTACTTATTATTTCTATGAGGTTAAATACCTTTTGTACACTCACATTATTCGACTATCCTATAGGATTTTTTTCAGAAATATATTTGAATTTACACGTGAATCAGCTTATTACCTTAAAATAAAGTAGAAATACTGGAGCTAATAACAAACTACATAGTTTACAAAATATGTTACTTACTGGTGTTGTAAACTATTATTTTTTCATATATTCAAACAACAATAATTTGTGTAATAATTTTCCAAAAGCTGTTAAATACGTATATTTGTCAACATTAAAACATGTAGTAGATTTCCCTAAGCTATGCGTATTGATACCTGTATATATGTGTACAAAGTTAATTTATTTATCAACTACTACGACAACGACTAACGCAAGGATGAAAAAAAGGATAGGTATGTCGTCACTGTCGCAACTATTGTAACTATCACATATAATTTATTGACTGTCTAATATAGTTTCCATCGTGAATAACAATAATATATATCTTCATAACCACAAAAGATCTAAAAGATCTAAATATTTTTTGGTTGACTAAACCCTTACAAGTACGATTGAGAAGTTACATATACAGGGTTCTTCTCGGTAAGTGGCCTATTAGACGTTTCCGAGAAACCAAAGACAATATGACTCTGAAATTTTGTTTACGGGGGTTATCTGATATGTTCTCTTCAATGAAAATAATGCCACCAACGTAGCACTTCCGGTTATACAGGAAGTAGCTATCAACTTCGTTGTTTTAAGTAGAACACCCTATATATTATTGCATTATCGACAAGATAAATTTAAAATAGTCAAAAATTTTAAAGCTTTCTTTTACCTAAATCCAACCGTTTTCGAGATACTGTCATTTTACAAAAAATTTGACTGATGCAAGCGTTTCGAAAATTACTTATATCTATGGCGTGTTATCTCTTATGGACACAGTTGTACCCTTATTGATAGTTGGAGAACTTCTCACAGAGAAGGCTCCCATCTAAAATTATGTCATCTAGCCATCTCATTCTAATTACATGTTGTTATTTATATGCGTTCTGTGGTTACCTCCAATGTTGTTCGTTGTTTTTCATGTTTGAGTTTGACATTTTATGCCTCGTGTCGTGTGTGTGAGTTGTGATTTATTAGTGTTTTGATAATTGTTGATAATATATAAACTTGAACTTTAATAGTCAGTTTTAGTGCTCTGCTGTTTTTAACAGGTAAGATATTTATGCTGCAAAATTTTCAAATTTCATATGCACACCCAATTTAGACAATATAAAATATAGAAAATATTATGTAGAATTGTAATTTAAAATTTCTAATGTTATGCTTTGTGTTGATTAATAATTATAAGCTTTTCTTTTGACTATTAACTACCCTAAATACTGAAAGGAATAAAGAATACTCTATTTTGAATTCATTAAACGTAACTATATTTTATGCATTATAAACAGTTAATTATCTTAAATTAATACCAGAGATTAAAATAAATATATACATCTAGGCGTTTTCTATACAAGATATCCATACATTTTAATAGTAAACTTTTATATAAAATTCGATAATGGTACAATTTTTATTAGGTTATACCTGCTACAGTATGGTGAGATTTAGGAAGTGCGCTGTGAAAGGATGTAATGACACTCAGTCTACTAGGCATCGATTTCCTAATCCGAAAAAGGAAATGGGAAGGTTCCAGAAATAGGTAGAAGCTTGTGGCAATACAGCTTTAACAACCTTAGCACCCGATCTTATATATCGATCATATAGGTTATGCCACATTCACTTCAGAACTAAGGATAAATCCACAAATATGTATCTTCTAAAAGGAAGTAAGGTAGTCCCTATGCTACACTTACTTTTTCGTGCACCACCAACTATTGATACTTTAGAAGTTGACATACCAACATCCATCATAACCCATGGTAAACAATTTAAAATTGTAATATGAAACTATTTGTTATATATAATTTATAATTTTCAGAAATAATCGAAGATGCATTACTTGAAGAACAAGATGGGGCGTTACATGTCTACAGCAAACAAACAAAGATAGCCCATGATCAACCATGAAGGGATATTATCACCATACATCAATTTTGTAGAAGTCGTAAGTTTTACAAAATACTCTGTATTACACCTAAATGTGTAGATGGAAACAAAAGTCCACACCCGAAAATTCAAAAAAATTTCACGAACTTTGAGGCCATCTAGTGACCAAACGAAGCGATTTCGGATATAGGTGAATTAGCCTAAATCTGCCTATTTTCAGTCCATGAATCTGTGGTTTTCCGTTGTACACGTTATTCTGGGACACCCTGTATATAATGATTTATGTTTACGATCACTTTAAAATCTTCATAAAGCAGCTACGTGAACGTGTGAGAAGTTATAAACAAATTCAAAATAGTCAACAATGTCAGACAAATTTGAAATTATTTGAGCCACTAATTTGAAATTAAAATGTATACTATAAAATTTGGCTACTTGTTAGGTGGGTACTTTTAGGAATTTTTTTAATCTCGATATACAGGGTGTTCCTAAATAAGTGTCGCAACGGAAAACTGAAAATTCCTCTGGAAAAAAGAAACATTTGACTTTTTATGAACAAAAGCAAACATTTTGCTAACGTTTCGAAAATCTTTTGTAATTAGTGTAAACGTATAAATTCTTTACATCTTATCGGAGCTTCTTAAATAGCGAACATAACCTTACTTTCTCCAAATGATTCTGTGACTTTGTGCACGTAGGAAACCACTCGTACTGAATTAAGGAAGCCCATGAAGAAAATGTCACCCTGGGACAAAATCAAGGCTGTGACTGGTAAGCGAGAGAGATTATCTCCACCCCCAGTTAGAAGATTGAGACTGCGTGGCGATTGGTCCGATACTGGGCCAGACGCACGTCCTGAAAGGGATACCACAACAACTGTCAGTAAGTGTAGTAAATCGTTAGCAACGATCAGCGAATCTGTGTCATTTAATAAAACACTAGAAAGGTAGGCTAGTCCGCTCACGCAGACTTGACCTTTCTCTCGGGCCTTCGGCCCTCGGGCTTTTAATATATAAGGACTTGTGTGCTATTTCTGGGTTTATTTCTTTAATTTATCATTTTGCAAGGTATTGGACAGGCTAGGCCTCAGTTACAGGCGACTCTAATGCAACGAATGACCGACGTGTTGTCTCGCATGCTCAACGATCCCATGACGAGGGCCGCCTTGAGTGCGGGCGGAGAGGATTCGTTAGATCCTGATGAGAATGCTCAGAGAATTCTTGAAAATAGGGAAGGAAACCCATCAACCCCTCAAGAAGAAAGTAGCAGTATGGAAACGGATCAGCCGGCTCAAAGTCAGTAAGTTTCATAAAAACGAGGTTAGATTTTATAATTCATACAGTGATATTGGACGTTATGTCACGGTATTTTCTGTATTAATTTAAAAGAGCAGCGGGATCATCGAACGTAACTCAAGACAGCGCAACTTGCAACCCCGACGGCACACCGAGAACCTCCTCCACGTTGGGAAGCCACCTGCATAGTCACCTTACGGTGTTGAGGAACCTGCGGGAAGGCTTCATAGAGCAGCACGGGGCCGAACCGTCCGTTAGCTTTCGATATTCTCAGCAGAGTACGTCCAATTCCACGATTAGCCTCAGAGTTGGCAACGAGGTCAATAATAGAAACTTCGAGGAGGAATCTGCTACGGGTGGTCCTTCCACTTCGATGGACGACGGCAATAGTACTGCCGAAGGCATCACCGAACAAATGGTGAGTTTAAAATTTGTAATCTTAGAAAATGTTCACGCAACAGAATTAATCAATTAANACAATGGGGGTGTTTAGTTGGAGAACATCTCACAGGTGGCGCTAAACGCATACTTATTTTAATACATGGCATTCCTATCTAAACTCTCTGTAATCTATGCTTATATCTTTCTTCGCGCTGGGAGCTTTCACTTGCTTTTCGGAACACACAAAGAACGTAAGATGCACTGCCTCCCTCTATCAAAATTACCTGAGGAAAATTATACTAAGTGTCTCATTACCATACCATATATTTAGTGCGACAAAATAATGTGATGTGCCCATAAAGCAACAAAATTCTGAAAATGAGAAAAACTAATTGAGGAAATTATATTTTCATTAAGATAACTCTACAGTGATAAAAATTATAGAAATTTACATTTAATTGTACAAATTTAAAACGATTTTTAAATGTAGCAGATGTAAATGAAAAAACATACACAATATATACAAAATAACACGTCCGAGTATCATATTTAAATTTATTTTTATACATATTTTCCTAGTGATGTATTTTTGGTAATTTACGTTTTGGCTCAACTAGTCAAATTAATCTCATGATCTCATGACACCAGGAGTTAATATCGTATAGAGAACTCTAATAATTACAAATATTTATTCATTTGTTGTAAGTATTCAAGTTTTATTAAGTGAAATTTAAATACAAAGGTAATTCAATAATGTGAAAAGTATGTAAATCTTCATTTGAACTTGTTGAAATATAGGTATGATAACTGAATATGGAAAAATGAGATGAAGAAATGAAACTATTACTTATTTTCGTGTTATAGTTTTACAGTACAGTTTTCAGCAGCTTACAGACAAATTGTAAAATACAGGTTTAATATAACTTGTATAAAGTAAGGTAAATTTACAACAAATTATGTAAAGTCAAAGAAACCAGTGCATAATTATACATACATTTTTTATGTGTAGTATTAAATTTTAAGAAACTGCTGTTTTCAGGATATTTCTAATTTAACATAATAATATAAAAACCACTTCAATAGATTAAAAATATTTAGTTCTTAAAAGTATCAAATTTACGAAGAAGAACACACGCAGCTTCATTGGGTCATACGTAGAAATTCATAAGTATTTATAACTGTTAAGTGAAGGTAAAAATAAAGTGAAGTAAAGTGAAGTAAAATGGAGTAAACTGAGGTAAAGTGAAGCAAAGTGACGTAAAGTGAATTAACGTGGAGTAAAGTGAAGGTAAATTAGTAGCATTTACTGTACAACATAGGTCTGCTAATCTTAACTTTTGATACCAATTTGTTTGCTTAGTTTTATTTATTATTAAATATTTTCATTATTGCATTCGTATACATAAGCAAAAAATTCAAATATTATAACTTACATGTAGTTTTCTTCTATTTTATTTTCTGTTTCTTTACCAATTAACCTATTGCAGTATCATTTCAACAAGCAGAAGAGTGAGCCTTCATATTTACAACAGTTTTTTGGCCATATTTCGTTTACTATTGAAAAACTAAAATTTGGCTGTTGTTGCATATTTTGCTGTTCAAAGGAAAAATATAGCAACTCCATTAAATATAACATGTAAATATAACATAAAGCTATCAATATCGCACTTAGTACTGAAATCTTAATGGATGGTTCTATTTTAATATGGTAGTAGTAGACATTTGAGTAGGTAAACTAAAACTTATGTTACATTTAGAAAACAGAATCTAACTACATTAAACAGGTACACATTAAAAAATATATATTCTGTAACCAGCTGTACTTGTGAAACTCTAGAACCTCTCTTTCGGGTTAATCTCGTATCTAGTATGTTTAAGTTGCGGGATAGAATTAAGCGAGATAGTCTAAAACTACCCTTGAAGCTTTTTCGTTTTATATTAAATAAAACTATACAAACATAAATTGAGCAGATAGTTTCATTTTTATATCGCAAAGTGAATATTGATATAAAACAAGTATCCAATTAGAAACCAATCTAGCCTAAATGAGGCGAAGTTAATGTTTTGGATTGTGCCGCTTTTATATTTTACCAAGAAATGATACATACTGAATGCGACAGGTCTATGTGGTGATAGTAATAATTATTTCCTCCATAAAAAAAGGTTTATTTTACGTTGCTTTCTTACATTTCGATTCACACATCTACCTTTACTGAATTAAATTTACTGTCAAAAAAGTATTCCTATCCAAAAATATGTAGTATTGAAGATAACTTAAGTGTAACAATCTATCTGATAATTTAAAAACATTGACACTAAATGAATTAACGATATTGACGAAGAAATATTTACGGGACAAAATCAAAACTTTTTAACTTACTAAAGTTTTCTCAACTCAACTGTGTAAAATCTCACAACACATAAATCCATCTCCTTGCTGACAACATAACTCTAAACAGAAGTGCACACCGTTCTGCATAATATGCGGATTACGACTACATTTCAAAAAATCCCAACCCAGCGTTTTTCCACATTTGCATAAGTATACACGCGAAAACTTCACATCTCTAAAGATTCAGTAACGTAGAAATAATGTAGTCAGTAATTTTCAACAATTTTTGATATACTGTTGAGAATATAATAAAAAAGACATTTATTTGGTATTCTGCGGTTGCTGGCTTTGATTACAATTTTAATGTTATTGATGGAACATGGAACTATCAGGTTATTAGTTGATTGATTACAAATATGAGTAATTACTGACATTAACATATGCACATGTATAAAATAAAAACAAGGGACCACTATGAGCATCGTCTAGTAAATACGTAAGTGAATTGAAATTTAGGTAGTATGATCCTTTTTGGAATTCTAATTATCATTACACGACCAATATGCACAGCACCGAATTTAGATTTTAGTTTGCTGTAGCCCGACAAGAAGAATAAGAAGGAAACATGACCTCAACATAATACAAATCTTACAACACGTTAAACTGAAAGTAAATTATTGAGAAAAAAGTAATGTTAATGAAATCTCCTTCATCATTTTATATTTTAAAATGTAGTTATTAATTTCCGATCTATACATATACAGGGTGGTCCCGAGGTAATGGGACAAAATTCATGGGTACAGATACAGGGAGTTAAATGTAAAATATTATTTTAGTTTATTTCCATTTATTTTTTAATAAATGCAAATATCTACACAAAATTTTGAGGTTATAGTTCATAGAGGGCGTCAGCTGCTGTAGATTGAATGTGTTGGAAACTATATAACTTTTTTGTATTTTAAGGTATCTCATCTTTGGTATCAAATTGTTACTTTCCAACTTTTTTTACACAAAAAAGGTAGACTTCATGAAAGTAGCTGTCTCGCACCGTTTCCGAGATATTTGGCTTTGAAACTTCCAATGCTCATAGTTGAAATAATTAAAATAATTTAGAAATGTTAAAAACAAGGATTTATTTTGAATTAAAAATTGTAATGAACAGTAAAATAGTAAACATTAGTAAAAAATATGCCTTTTTGACAATAATTGCTCAAAATGTCTAACTTCAATACATTTATCAACGCGTTTATTAAAAGATTGTCTTCTTATTTTAAAGTATAAATCCTTAATGCGAAATGACTGCAGTATTTAAAACCTGCTACTAGAGTTCTTCGCAAGTGTTTATAGTTTCTCCAAAACAAATGATTTCATGTATGTAACTCCAAAAACGAGAATCTCGGCATTCTATCTCACATTTATGTATACGAGTATACAATTTAAATTGTAAACTAAGATGTAATTTTAATTAGATACGAATAATACTTAATAGAAATTAGCATACAAATGACAGCTTTTCGTCTAAATCCAACTTAAGAAACTTTACCGTTAAATTAATAATACCTGTAGACACTTATTTGTAATTTAATGCAACAGCATTGGAAGTTTCAAAACCAAATATCTCGAAAACAGTTCGAGGTAGCTATTTTAATAAAGTATACCTTTTTTTACTAAAAAGAGTTGAAAAATACGAATTTATTACCAAATATGAGATACCTTAAAGTACAAAAAAGTTATGTCGTTTTTAACACATTCAATCTACTACAGCTAGCGCCCTCAATGAAATATAACCAAAATGTGAACAGATTTCAATTCCTCTACTCAAAGAACTCCAATCCCCAAAATTTTGTGAGGATATTTGCATTTGTTAAGGAATAAATTAAAAAAAAACTGAAATAATATTTTACATTTAATACCCTGTATCTCTTTAACTATCAACTTTTGGACTAAGGTAAGTTCGACTAAATCGCAATATTTTTTCTTGATGAATCTACCCATGAATTTTAGCCCATTACCTCGGGACCAACCTGTATAACAGGGCTTGTAAAGGTAAACATTTTTAATTTACAGTATAATGCAACTAGAATATATTGAGTGATTGAAAACTTATCAAAAAGAGAATAGATGGGATCTATACAAATACCCTAGTGTGAAAAAGAAATCAATAAACTTTTCAAAGTGATTTGAGATTCTTTTATATAAACCATTATATGATCATGTAAAAGGTGCCTTATCTCCTCAACAACATGGTTTCATGAAAGGTCGTTCTATTGTAACAAATCTAATGTGCATTGCCACAACCATTGATTTACACCTTCAAACAGACGTCATATATGCTGACTTCTCCAAGGCATTCGACCGACTTGATCATAAAAAGATACTGTTCAAATGAAACACTACGGTATCTTCAACACCTTAATTGATTTTTTAAATCCTACCTCTCTGGTAGATAGATGTCAATACGTTTCTTATCATGGTCACAAGTCTGTCGAATATATTAGTCCATCTGGTGTCCCTCAGGGGTCCATACTGGGCCCTCTCTTCTTTAATATTTTTGTCAATGACATTATGGGTGACTTGGATGTCTCCTGGATGTATGCATGCGGATGACTTGAAGATTTTTTCTAGAATTGCGTATACTGAAGATTGCCTAAAATTACAGTCAAATTTATGGAAAAAATATGAGTGGTCCACTAATACAATTTAAACTTGGATGTACAGAAATGTGTCATGACATTCACTACAAAAACCACGAAAACATTATTATAGTATAAATGAGCAAATTTTAAACAGGGAAACAACGTTTCGAGACTTGGGTGACGCAATCTAACGTTTATACCGATCATATACAACTGCGAATTGATTAGTTATTTATATTTTCATGTTCCTCGTGCAACATCCAGACATGAGCAATGTTTTTATTTATCAGCTTCTCGCACGAATATTCTCAAATACTCTCCTATATACAGAATGTGCAATTACTATAATAACCATCAAGAGTCTTTGAACCTATTTGGAAACGTATCAACAAATAATAATCATTGAGTGAACATGCATTAAATTCATGGTGGTTTAGGTTAAGTATATTTGTATACATATTTATTGTTTTTTTTATTATGTTATTTAGTTATTACATGAATTATATTTTTTCTGTATTTACCCATCCTGTAAATCGAATTTTCTCTTGGGTGGTGTACAAAAATAAAAATAAAAATAAAATGATACTCAAATTTCTTGTCTCTGTAATATGATGTGGACACCTGCAACTTTCATCTCTTTCACGATTCGGTAGCAATTCTCTTTTTCAGTCACTACCACCGTAAAGGTAATAGCATTTGGCAAATACCAGGAAAAAGTTCTGCATACAACTGTATTTTGCCTTACTTCGCCATAAATTAAAACAATATCCATTAATTCTGCATTGTTATGTAGAATTGATGTAAATAATAAACCACGGTAATAAGAGCACTGTGGAAACCACAGTAATACTGAAAAAATAAGCATTTGTCAACTCAAATCGACGTCTAGTAACTTAGTGCTTTTAAATATAACAATTTCAAACTTTTTTTAAATTTCTGTAAATATTTCATTATCTACAACTTCTTTTTTGACATCGGTTTTATTTTTGATCGCACATCGCACACATCGAAGGGTATACCTGAAGTATGAAGCTATCTCGAATTAGTACATTGGAACTTTACTAGCCATTCTCAGCAAATAAAGAGAAACTAGAACTATCTAGAATAATCTAGTTAAATCTTATTTGAAAAGTATGAAGCTGTCTAGGTATAATTTATTATCTTGCCGCAATATTAAAAATGACACTTAACACGGATTTTTACTCTACTTGTCTATATCGACTGTAGAAATCTATATCTGGAAGTCGTTAAAGTTCCACATAGGCAAAAGGCAATAACTACCGTTTTGAATTTCATAACATTAACATATAATGAAGTCAACTGATGCACGGCATAACTAGTAGGTTCATATTCCATTTCCTAATTGCAGAAAGTTTTAGCATATTCATATTTTATATGCAATGAAGCTAGGGAGGTGCATCGTCCATAAATGAAAATCAGGATAATATAGCGAATATGTATCACAAAGTTCAGTTCCATTTTGAGTAACATCAAGGGGAATGCATTTTGTAGAGACCTTTAATGTAATATGGCGCAGGCGAGATGTCAAAAAGAAACAGAAATCAAATCATTAATATTAGCGGTGTTGGTATAAGAACGATCAATAATAAATTAAAGAACATCTTTAATTCTTTGCCAACGTTTTGGAGTTATCTTACTTCGTCAGGGAACAAAATTTGTTGTCTTCTGTCAAAAACTACAATTAAAGACATTCAGAGATTTTTGCAGTCTCTGAATTTTATGAGTGAATGCCCTATAGAACATGAAAGTACATATTTGTCTATACCTTATTACTCTTTTATTGAAAAGAATATATGAATACCCATATCCTACCTTATGCATATGGAAACGTCTGGAGTTCTGACCTGGGCCATATGTATATGCCCACTTTTCAATTAGGTAAATGTATGCGTGTGACTTTCCTTTCGTGACCACTTTTTATAGCTTCTCTTTACTATTAACATAAGATATGTAGGTATTTAGATGAAATTAATGTTTGAGGTATAGTTATGTTTGTACATGCATATTTTTCTTGCACATAATTATGTTATGTAAGATTGAATCTGAGTATAAAGCTTATATTTTATTTAAGTAGCTAGATCTTTTCCATTTTTAGTATATTAGAATATTACTGCTATTGGGGGATTTAAATATTTTATATAGTAGGTATTTCGACATTAATACTGAAAATAAACCCTGAAAACTTAAAATAATTGTTAGCAGACGCTTTATGACGCTGAAGAGTATGTAGAATGATCAAAAAACTAACTAAAAAGAAGTGACGCTAAGTTGGAAAATTGAAAATAAGTGGCAAAATTGCACTTTTTTTTCACTTTTCCCATTGCCAATGAAAGTCTAGACGATCTATAGGAAAGTTAGTTATTTTATGGTGTAGGCAATTAAATTACCTACAATTTAAGGTACCTAAAGTCATATTACACCAATTTGTTAACTGTAAAATAAAGGCCGAAAATTGCGCATTATTATTGCAAAAAGTGATAGATGTTGATGAAATCTATGGAAAAGACGGTCAATCCAATAACCAACATGTGTGCCAATGGCCGATTGGATTGACCGTGAATTTGTGGCTTCAGGTATTTGTTAGTTAATTTCTTTTGTTTTTAGCAAGTAGTTATTTAATTACTAAACATTAATTTTAGAAGTTAATAGGTATCGTAGATCAAATGAAACGTATCGAAAAAGAAATATTTCAAAAAGTTTAAGTTACTCTTTACCAACTAACAAAGTAGGATGTGCAAAGCAGAGTTATAAATAAATTGTCCCAAGGTCAGGTAAGAGCCGCTCGGGAATTCGCTCTTTTTGCAGTAAATAAAGCTTATTTACTGCAAAATTTTGGTAATTTAAACAAAAAAAGTGAAATTACCTTCGCCTGTTTGTCTCCAAGATAGCTTTTTTATAACGTTAATTATCGGACAGGGGTTTTAGAGACGAAGAAGGGGTTCAACATTTATTAAAAAAAAAAATTTACATTGATAGTTCATGTAATAAACGCGTTAGCTCGTAGGTGCCGCTCTCGCTGCGTGCGGGATTTTTGACTTGAACATTTCAATTCAATTATTATTATTATTATTTGAGATTAGGCATCTCGTCGAGACGAGTAAAATAAAATTTATATGTATATTGTTAGCATTAATCCGTGGCAAATTAAACATTTAATATTTGTAAATTAAAAGAATTCATATATTCAATGACTGAATAATACCTATAAATATTATTTATTGAAATATATATTTTACATAATATGTATCTTTCAAATATTTCTAAAGGATAAGGACAGTGAAACAATACAAAGCAATAATGATTTATATTTATAAAAATAAAAACTTTTATTCTTATTATAGAAACTTTGATTTACTGTTATTTAGTTCTACTTTTTTTGGCAGGAATGAATTCATCAACATCCTACTTCGTCTTGTATGAAATCCTAATTTGTTAGTTGTAAAGAGTAACTTAATTTCTTTAACTTTAACTTTTTGAAAATTTTATTTTTCGATAAGCTTCTTGGGATCAGAACCTATATCTAATGTTTGTAATTAAACAATTAGTTGCAAAAAACTAAATTAATTAACAAATACCTGGGGCAACAATTTCACGGTCAATCAACATCCATCGCTGTTTGTAATAACAATGCGTTTGACCTTTATTTTGCAACTGAACTATATTGCATTTCCGATGCATTGCCCATAATAATTATATAAATAAACGCTCCAGGATCCATAAATGTAATGTACGGTGTTAAAATAACAAGTATATTATATAGTTTATATTGTATAGTATATTGAGCTCATCAAATTCAGTGATTGCGGTGCAATGGTGTGCTGAAGGGAGGATGATGAAGAAAATGATATCAATTCCAAGCGTTAATGTTTCAGGAAATAACGACGTAATTCCTACCGCTGCAGAACTCCATGTTAAAATTAGAGTAGACTACATAGCGGCATAAATACTACTATCCAAACAAAAATGAACGTGAAAAACGACACAAGAAAAGTACATTTAATTCCCATTTCTGTGTTCTAGCTGATCTCGTTTCTCGCAAGTTGCGCCTGTGCATTAGAGGACCACCGCTACAGGTCACGTGACGCACAGACGCAGTATGGCAGCTCGGCGAGCAAAGATACATGGAACCAGTTCTACCCGAGCAAGAAATTTAGTGTTGGCATTACAGTCGAAGGGTATGCATGTGGCTTCGACCTCCGACAATGTGTAAAGTGTATTTACGAATGCAGTTACTCCGTTCCTGTCTAAAATAAAAGCCGAAACGTTAAAGTGAACGTCCGGGGATGATATTGACTCGGAAACATAAAAGCTGTATCTGTTTCCCTCTCTCTTTCGCTTAGTTGTGTTGTTAAGAAAGTACCTATAAGACGGGTTGTTGCATCGAGTACTAAACGCTAAGAAGCGGCATAAATATCTCAATGTTAATTATAAACAATGTTATTAATTAAACATTAAGTAATACGGTTGCCGGTGTCAATGGCTAAAGTAATAATGTAATTTAATCTTCTGGTTCTGGGAGTGTCCAACTTCAACAAACTATAAAAACTCATGAACCTCATAAGCGTAATTTAGTGATCCGCATAAGTACTTGAACCGTGGCAAAATGGCACTAAATCATGCACTGGGTGCCGTCGTAGTACTAACATGTTTTCTATGTTACCATAATAGTTATTACTGTGGTTTTGTTTTCGACGATATAAGTGCTATTAAAGAAAATCGGGATCTGCGACCTCATTCTCCCTTGATTAACATATTCTTTAATGACTTTTGGGGTACACCGATGCACAAGGTAAGGGTCGATGGTTCATATTTTAAGTAGTGTAGACTTAGCAATTCGCGAATCAGCACAGTGGGCGTTAATTTAACAGCAACAACCGTCTCATTCTTGGGTGAAGTCCGTTAAGCAAAATTTGATATCGATAACCGGTTAGTACAAATGCTTCTGGGATTCTTTCGTCTTCTAGGTGCATTTATGCACTCTTATGGTTTAGGATTGCCAATAAATAAATATATTTTAAATACATGGTACAAGTTCTTACATAAAAATGATTTTGAAGAAACAAGTTTATCTGGTCATTGAGCAGTTCAGAAAAATATAATTATACCTTAAGTGTTCAAACTATGATACTTGTTAATAGTGAAAACTAGTGTTACTTTAGAGAAATTGACATAACATCAAATGGGAAAAAAGACAAAAAATGAAAAACGAAGACACGTACTTTTTTGTTCCCTTTTTGGAGTAGGTACCAGAAACTTCTATGAAATTAAAATGAACAGATTGTAATTATGAACCAGCCCTTAAACATCGATTAAGTTCGTGTATGCCAAAATTTTGAAAGGGTCATGATTAAAATAAATATTACAATGAATAGAAAAATAATATAAAGGAAAAAAATTAAAACATCTTTATGAAGCCTGCATAAAAAAGCTAAAGATAGTATCTCAAATGACCTTTAAAAATTTAGGGAGTCAATTTCCCTGGCTTGACTGGAGAAGTCAAACGAAGGAAAAGTAACGAAAAGCGTTTGCAAAACCCTTTTAATTAAAAATTTTATTCGAGTCGTGCAACTTTTGACTTTTAGTACAATATTCTTTTGGGATTTCATTTTTGATCTCTTCAGTACGTAAATTTAAATTTTAAAAATGAATTCTTTTAAGCAATATTAAATTCAAGAAAGGAAGAAATTAGTTCCTATTAAAGCAGGCAACTGTATAAACTTGTTTCGATTACATATAAGACTTAAATGAAGAATCACCATATCCATTCATATCATTTTCATTGCTGACTTGAAATTAGGTGACAGTATTTAACATTTATACGAAGGTTTCCATTTCATTCTCATGGCAAATTATCTTCAAAGTCACTTCTAATTTGAATAGTTGAATATGTCCGGTTACAGGCACAGGCTTTAACAGTGTCTCATTAAAATTGTATGACAATTATGACAGTTCTAGGTTAAATACTTAATTGGACGAATTAGAGTTCGTATAAAAAAGTACGATCTAGATATAATTGTATAACACTGAACGCAGATCCACGTACTTTCACAATAGAATAGAAATAAGGTTAATGAAATAATATCATCGTATGAAACAGACTTGCCTCTAGATCTTATGAATATATTTAAATTGTATTGCACAATGATTTCAAGAAACAAATTTAGTGGTCCAAAATCATAGTTAATAATTTAAAATCGTGTTACACTTGAATACTGTTATAAAATAGATTTAGATTATTTGTAACTATAATAGAAATTCAAGACGTAAAAGTACGTTAGATAAATTTTAAATAAAAACTTTTACTTAAATAAATACAGAGAACAGTTAAACAAATATGTAATTACATAGAAGGAATGCCTAGAATGTTATTTATTTCTCGAAAATTTAGAAATATTTATGGAAGAAGGTTAATAGCCTATAGTGTTTTTGCACATTTATTAACCATCCATTTATGAAAATTAGGTTAGTGCCTGCAAATATCATTGAAAAGTCAGCTTTATTTATTTATAAATGGGGTCTAAATGTTTAACCATCTAATTTGAACTCTGTATGTACCTCTGAACCTTTGGTTAGTTCTAAAATAGGTAGTTATATGCAATCAGTGTAAATATTGAAAGTGTATCTGCACGTGATGTGAAATTGTCAAATTGACAAGTGCGAAAACACCTTTTTATACCAGTTAGAGACATATGTAATATGTCCACTAAAACAGTCTTTTACTAACTGTACAGCATAAAATAATATTTAAATATTTGCGATATTTAGATGCATGTACTTGCTTTCATATACAATGTATATACAATGAATCTTTCTTAGAGTAGAAAATAGTGTAGAACCTTGATTTTATAAGCTACGCTATAGAAGTTACTGCTCTACAATATAATAGTGTGAAAAAGTGACTTATTTCGACACTAAATTGAATATCTATAGATATTCAATTCATACATCAACGATGTCATTGTTACAGAAGGAATATTTGCCTGCGCTTTATAATTTTGTAATACGCCATGTGTTTCCTGAAATCCTACATTATTAAATGGCTCCGGAATTGAAACATACGTTACTGCTGTTAAGTTGTTAAGCTCCAGTTAAAAGTAGCGAAATAGAAAATGTTTCCGACTTCGTGCTAATGCCTACATTGATATAGAGGAAAGTCCATGTGGTCTTCTCTTATGTTTTGTTTCTCAATCAACCAGTTCTGCAAAATATATTATACCTAATTATGGTAAGATATAGCTCCAATGAATGGTATAATATGGAGAATCGCCTAAATTGAAAAGATGAGGAAGAGATATTGATTTATTAAATTTTATACAATTTGAATAAACAATATTGTAGATCTATGAATAGGCAATGAACCTGCAATATTTATTTGTAATGAACTTCACCTTGCCATTTTTCAATGTAACATCTACACAAAAATAATTTGAACTATACATACATATACAATTTTTTCTTACAGTATAAACGTAATATATATATAATACTTAGGTACATATTATATTATTTATTAACTAACAATAAATTTGAATTTGCATACTTCATTTGTGTAATAAATATTTGTTTTTACTTATTATAAATTCAAATTACAATATCTATAAAAATTCGGTATAATATTAACGAAAAGCGTGCCCACATCAACATAGTGAGGAAAATGTGAGCAAAATAAAATTATACTCCTGGTTTCTACCCTAATCCTCGTGCAGATTATGTACCAATAATTCTTCGAATTGAGAATAATTTAAAAAATAAATATATCTTTATTCTATGACGCTCAGAGATGAGTAAAATGAATAATAAATTTTTCATTAAAATTTCATACTGCATAGACAATAAAATAATTTTTTGTGAAAAAGATTTACATTTAGTGATTATTTGATAATTATTAAATATAATAAACAGAAACGTCAGCTGCAAATCAGTTATGAAACCAATTCGAATAATTATTATCTATATAGGAATGAAATAAAAGATTATTTATATTGATGCTGCAAGTTATTTCGCAATTTGAAACAATGTTTTCTATAATTTTTAACACCCTGTATATCGTGCACGCAATTTTTCACTATTTACTGAAGAATTTGCCATTCAAAATGTACCAATTTCCGCACTGTATATTTTGTTTTACAAAGGTTTACAAAATAGTAAGTAAATGTTATTAAACGACTACCATGGATTTACAAAATGAAAATGATTATTCATTCTTCGTTTCAATTTCGTGAAATTTTTCATTGGTACAAATCCATCGAAATTTCATCAGTTCACTGAACCAGCATTAAACAAACAAAACTTGCCGACGAGTGTGGAAAATGGGCGGGTTAACCAAAATCAACCAGCGGGGACATAATCTGAATTTTAAATGCGGAAATCTCTTTACCTATATTTGTTTTCGGTATACAAGGAAGCTGTTGGTTGTGAGATTTTTCATCAGATGACAACCTAGCTAACAATACAGTCGCGCCTATCTTCTTTTTTATTGCAGTGTATGCCCTTATTTATAAGATATTTGAACAGAACAAAATACATATATGTAGCAGCTATTTTTCAAGTGTTACATTAATGCTTTTACCATAACCTACATATTCCGTATGTACCACTAAAAATATTTATATATGCGTGTTGCGTTAACAGAGCCGTAAAACTGATGGATGTTCGCTACAAACGCTCTGAAAAATGTCCGCGTTAAATATCAATTACTTTCGGAAATTGCCGGACTGCGCTGAAAAGCAAAACCGAAATGGAATTAAAGTTAATTCCCTTAGAGTAATGGAAAAAATAGATAGCGATTTGGGATCGGCAATCTGTCTTGTAGCGGAATTTTATTTCATGATGGGGAGTCAGTCAAACTGATTGTTTGGTTCTTTCTTGGTGAATTGATGGCATTGTCCAATTTCTCTGTAATTTAAAAAGCAGCATCCCTAACTCTACCATTACGAACAGAAACCCGTGAATTATGATTACAATAGTTTTTTAGAGAAATATTTAACATAATACTTAAATGTCATGCTTTACATTATCTTTGAATTTTAAATATAAAGAACTATAAAAGGGGTTTACATCTTAACATGTAATATTTCAAAAGCTATTGAATTTTTGACATTTATTTCTGAAAAACAATTTGTTAAATTATTAATGTCGATAAAGTTATAAAAGAAATATTTTCAGTCAAATTACC